GGGGAAATTGCGTATGCCTCCTGTAGACCAAAAATGTCTCCAAGATCTGTGCAAGAGAGAAAGGTATACATTCCTATTCCTCCTCTATGCGCATGCGCCAACATGCGTCAGTTGTTGCTGGACTACAAAATTATTGGTTTCAATATTTTTTTACTTGAAAGCTATCAACTTTACCGAAAAATAGCAAGAGATAAAAATTGTTTATTTTCTTCTTATAGTGCTCGGAGAATTTTTTCAGAATTTTATATTAACTTTTTAATACTGCATTTTTTTGCGTTTTCTTGCATTTTCTTAAAGTATTAGAAAGTTAATACAAAATTTTGAAAAAATTCTCTAGCTCTATAAAAAGAAAAATATTATTTCTTGTCAACTCTATAACCTAACCTGTCAACTTCAACGCATGCGCACAGAGGACAAATAGGAACGTATAGCTTTCTCTCTCACACACATCTTGAAGACACTTTCGTTGCCAGCATTCCCCCTCCATACATATATACTCTAAGATTAGAACTTATTACGAAAATACAACCAGTAAAGAAGTAATCATCATGTAGATAACAAACATTAGAAAAATAATTAAAAAAATGCAAACAAAAATTACATATAAAACAATTTATATATAATAAGTATATTATTTATTAAAGAATATTCTATTAAAAATAGTATATTAAAATTATGTGTAGCAACCTGAACTGCCTTTATATAATATTTACGAGAACAACTTCAAACGATATTTCATCTTTTTGTCTGAAATATTTCGTGTTATGTGCCGTCGTTAAGAATTTTATTTGTCTATTTTAGCTTGAATACAATCAGTAGAGTCTTCAGTTTTGAGATGATACATACTAGCCTTTAAGCCCTATAAATAAAATAAATAAAATATATATTGTTAAATTAAAGTACAATATACATGATTATGTAAAATATGTTATACTTACAATTTCCCAAGCATAAAAATGCATTGATGTAAGCTTATCCGTTGGATCAATCATGTGAACATTCAAACATTGCGATTGATCAATAAAAGGTCCACGAGCAGCTGCCATTTCAAAGATCGTTTTTTGCGGCATTTCCCAAGTAGTTTTATAAAGTAATTTCAAGTCGTCAGGTATATCATCGATATTCTACGAAAAAAAAAGTGGGAAAAGTTGACACACCCATGTTCGGACATTTCTACAGAGAGAGACGCACGCGCAATTTCATAAAACATTTGAATAAATATATACTAACTTGTATAGAACCACCATTAGCAATGATTTTATTACACATGTCTTCATTCCAAAGACCTTTTTCAAGAAGATCTCGTAACAATCGCATCTTAACATATGGAAACTGTTTAGATAGTACTTGCATTACACATATATTGCTTATATATGGCTCAACTGATTCATTGTTTCCCAACATTTGCGCCATGAAAGTATCAGACATTTGCGCAATTAATAGAGAATTCCGTATTCCGTGCTTCGCAATCTTTGCCTTTAAAGTGTCCCAGTCCCATAAATCCGTTGGTTTTACATTCCACATTTCATACTGTAAAATCTATAAAAGGAAGAAAAATTATACAATTGATTAATGTTTCAATTAATCAACGTTAATGTACAATTAATAGTCAATAAAAAAATGCTTTTAAGAACCGCTTACTTACGCCTTTACTAACTGGACTTCCTTTGTAAGTCTCATAAGGGCCATTTTCAATAGCCATTTCGCAACTAGCTTCCAAGGCACCATAATAGAGCGTCTCAAAAATTTGTACATTGAGTTTTTTAGCTTCTTTGCTTTCGAATGGATATCTCATCGAGATAAATGCATCTGCCAAACCCGTTATACCAATACCTAAAATATTCCAAAGATCAATCTTAAGTATTGTGCATTTTATATATGAATTACGTATAAAGTATATATAAATATATAAATTAAATTATATGTAAATTATATGTAATAAACTTACCGATAGCTCTATGCCTACTAGACCATGCTGCTTCTTCAAGAGGATATAAATTGGCATCTATCATCTTGTCCAAATTGTAAGTAACAATTTTTGTTACTTCCTTAAGCTTAGAAAAATCATAAGTTTTCGTCGTAGAATTCACAAACATGTCGACAGCAATCGCAGCTGTATTACACGCAGGAACTTCATCAGAACTCGAATACTGAATGATCTCAGTGGAAAAACTTCCACATTGAATTGTGCCTAAGTTTTGATGATTTGACTTGCGATTGCAATGATCTTTATAGACTATGTATGGTGTGCCCGTTTGAACTTGTAATTGAGTTATGAAAAGCCATAAATCTCTGGCTTTAACTTGTTTCCGGTAACGTTTCTCCTTTTCATATCTAAATAACCATTTAGAAATTTTGACTATACAATTCTACAATCATATGTAATTTAATAGAAATCTTGAAATAGAAGTATAGACTATATATAATCAATTACCGCGTATACAGAGTTTCAAATTCATCACCCCAAGTCTCGATCAATCCAGGACACTCGTGTGGACACATTAGGCTCCAATCAGCATTGTCAAAAACACGTTTCATAAATAAGTCTGGGGTCCATAATGCATAAAACATATCCTTAGCTCTCAATTGTTCTTCACCTATAATATTTGTTAACATGTATATTTGTTTGGAGATGTAAAGAGATAATAAAGTAAAGAATAATAATCACCAATATTCCTCTTAAGTTCCAAAAACTCATATACATCCGAATGCCATGGTTCCAAATATACAGTAATTGGACCTTCAATTTTGCTATTCTTGCAAACAGTTGGGATAGATGTGTTGTATGCTTTTAACATAGGAACCAATCCATTTGATACACCTCCTGTACCACGTATGGGTGTGTTCTTCGCACGAATGCAATGTACATTAAAACCAATGTCACCATTATGATAACATAAAATAGCAGCCCTTTCTAAAGAGTCTAGTATTCCATCTATACTATCCTCAGACATCGTCAATAGAAATGAACTACAAAGATATTGTTTATTTAACATGTCATAATATATCACTATGCTATTAATAAGTAGGACTGAGTAAGTTAATATTCTTTTTAATCAAATTTTAAACTGATGGTCTATATAATTAATTGGGTTAAGTTAAAAGTTATACAAACAAAAACTAAGTTCATTAAAAGTTAAGTTAAAAATTTAATTAATTTATTAAAGTTAAAAATTAATTTTGTAAAGCAATACTTTTTTGTATAATTTACTTTCTAATCATAAATTTAAATGAAATAATGAGAATGTAGTTTTTTATAAGAAAATACTATAACTGCTCAGGATTGTAATTCTCTACAAGAACTCTTATGTCCAGATAGATAAAACAATTATACTAGAGTTAATTATTTTGTAATTCTATTTGTAAGCAATCTTGAGTATTTTTAGTACTGATGAGTTACTTTAACTTGTGTAAGAAAGTTAACAATTTACAGTCAATGCATTTTAAAGTAACTATTTTAAGCTAAAAATTAACTTATTTAAAATAAATTAAGTTGTTAACATTTAATTGTGCAATTAGTTATTATCCAGTCCTGCAAATAAAATTTCTCAATAAAAGTAGTTACCTGGCTATTTGCTGTTTAATAGTACAAGCTGTATTCAGAGTCTGGGCAGCATGTATAAAATATTGTTTTGATAGAAAATTATAGGTCTCAATAGCCTTATCGACATCTTCACCATGAATACATACAGCAACTCGCATCAGCATATGTTGTGGCCTCTCAATTACTTTTCCGTTTAATTTTAACAAGTGTTTACTTTCAAGGATTTTAAATGTAGTATAGCTATAATTAAAATCCCGGTCGTATATTATGGCAGAATTAAGTTTGTCTGCATTATCTTGAATAATCATAAAATATTTCTCAGAAATTCTGGGTAAACGTTTGTTCATGATTGATATGTGTCCATGATACAATTGAGTTATTACCTCTGCAAAAAGTACCAAGATATTAAACATTAAACATTGCATGTTAACAAATAATACACAATGTTAAAATATCTCACCGCTAAAGACTTTCTTTGTCTCTTTATGCAAGTTGGATATGGCAATTCTGCCTGCTAAAATTTCGTAATCCATATGCTGATTGACCATACTTGCTGCAATATCAGCTGCCAAGATGTCCAATTCAACTGTTGTCATCCCAGAATAAAAACCAGATATGACACGATGAGTAATAGCAGACTGTAAATAATGCAGAAACTGTTATAAATACTTTGAAATGTCTCTGACATTTCAAAAACATGAAGCATGAAGTAAACACAAGCATCATGTACCCTCGATATTATTGCATAGTTTAGAATTATAAATGTGTATATATATACATATATATATATGAACACTTACGGGATCTACATAATTCATATCCAAACCGTAACATAATGTTACAATCCTTGATGTTATTTTATCGAAGTGAACAGCCTGCACGCGTCCGTCTATCAACAAGAAAAATATGTCGAGATTAAAGGCGGGAAAACAGTATGTGTTCTTATCGTGACAGGATCCTTTTTATCGTAAGATAAGAGCGTATTTTTCCAATTACCGCGTTTGATTACGTGCATGTTTTATCTGTCAAGTATCTCCAAAGAACTAGAATCCACACAAATACTCTGATTTTCAATTTCTTTACGCTCAATTCCGCGAAAAGCAACTGACGACAAGCAACCGGTAAGAAGCAAACGGCATGACCACTTGGTTATTATTAGCATTTCAACCGTGAAACGGAAATATAGGCTGGTATTCATAGTCGGATCTTAAGCCCATTCTACAATTGCGTGAACGTGGATGTAAGTGGTTGTAAGTGATTACGACACCAATTAGAGTAAAGCCCATTCTACAATTTCGTAAGCGTAGTCGTGAACGTAAGAGTCAACCAATCCGAATGTTTTATTCACTGATTACTTTACTCTGATTGGTTGTCGTAATCACTTACAACTACTTACAACCACGTTCACGCAATTGTAGAATAGGCTTAAAGCAATCAGTGAATAAAGGGACGTCTACATTGGAAGTAAGCAGTAAGAAGTAGGAAGTAAGAATAAGAAATTGACCAATCATAGTTGATTATTCACCACATTCGACTGTGGTTGGTCAATTTCTTACTCTTACTTCCTACTTCTTGCTATTTACTTCCAATGTAGACGTCCCTTGAGTTAGAAGAAGTTGTCATAAACTACAAAAGTACTAGATGGTCGTGCCTATCATAATTTTCGGCCTTAGTGGAACTAACTTTAAGGGTGCGATTACATGAGCGTACGGAAATACGGAAATGCAGAAATACGGAAGACAAAGTTACTAGGACTTAACTAGATTTACGCATTTCCGCGCTTTTGTTCCGTAGCTTTATTTCTCCTAAATATTATATGGAGCATATTTTATACGGAAAAGCAGAACAAGGAATTATAAAACATTAATTGTAAACAATATTTATTAATTAAAATGTTTTTATTAAATGGATAAGTTGAAAAAAGAAGCATATTAATAAAAATTGCAATGAATGAAATAAATATAATTTTTTAAAATGTATAAAAATATTTATTTATCACTATACCGTTCCGCATTTCCTCACAAATTGTGCTCCATGTAATATTTAGGACAACCAAATCAACGGAACGCGTTTACTCCGTTATATTTACTCCTTGTATGAGCGCATACACAAATCTGTGAAAGAAGATTTAAAAGCTGTAAAGTTGGCTTATTACGTTAGATTGCCACGTTTTTGCTTGCTGCAAATATGATTTTAAATTATATATTAATGACTATGATCATACTGGTAATACGAGCACGAAAGCAACCAAAGAGGTATACGGAAATAACGATGAAAAAAGTTACAAAATTTTATATCTACAATTGTTACAAAAAATTAGAAGACGGACGAAATCGCAGAATGTGGGTAAGACCCATATTTTCTGAACAACGAAGATTGTTACAAGGAGTCAGTGATAATTTAATCGTTGAAATGCTATTGTCTGACAACGAAAAATATTTTAACTATCTGCGGATGTCACCAACAATGTTCGATGAATTACTGACAATCGTTGGACCTCACATCGAAAAATAGAGAGTAGTTCGTAATCCAATAAGTGCTCGAGTAAGATTGCAGGTGACTTTACGATGGTTGGCTTTGGGTGACAGTATAGTATCACTATCTTATGCTTTTTGCTTGTTCCGTATTTTCGTATAAAATCCGCGGAAAAGCAGAACGAAACCGCACGGATTGAGTTACTAGTTACTTTTCCGCATTTACGCATTTCCGTGTTTACTCTCATGTAATTACACCCTAAAGGGACGTCTACATTGGAAGTAAACAGTAAGAAGTAGGAAGTAAGAATAAGAAATTGACCAATTATAGTTAATTATTCTTCTTACATTCGACTGTGGTTGGTCAATTTCTTACTCTTACTTCCTACTTCTTGCTATTTACTTCCAATGTAGACGTCCCTTTACCATAGGAACAAGCTGGAGTAAGAAGTAAAGAACGCACATTCGACATAATAATTTCGTAAAATCTCATGATTATATCCATATTTTTTTTAACGTGTGCTAAGATTATTTGTATTTTATTAAAATCATACTTACTATAAACTATCATGTGTGAAATCTGAAGTGTAAAATATAATCCTAATTTAAAATAATATATATCCTAATTTATTTACAAGAATTCTGTTTATACTATTCATATATGTGACGGAAGTTACAATTAAACTTACGAGTTTAAAATTACGGTTTGAAAATTATTAATTAATTAATATTAATAATATTATTATTATTGATTAATATTAATATTAATATTAATGCTATTTATTGATTAGTAAATAATTTTTAAACCCTAATTAATAAACATTGTTTATTAAAGTATTCAACTTTTTTTCTTAGTAATTTTTTAGTAAACAATGACTAACGGCTAAAGTGACGATAGGTTGGGTTAGGTTAGTTTTGAGTTGGGGTGCGGGGGGCGCATCCCCCCGCTAGTAGTTTGATATTGCAGTTACATAATGTGATTAAAAGATCAGTAATTTGTTTAAATTGTGGGAAAGCAGCAACGTTTGACAAGTGAAAAAAAAATTAAAAAAAAGTTAAAACAATATATAACTTGCATATTTTTCGGATTCCCCCGATTGATTATCAATATTGGAGTCAAAATAAATATTTTCACCAAAAGAGGTGCAAAAAAATATCAAAATTCGAAAAAGGCCTTATTGTACATAATTACCCGAAAAAGAACCAGGAATATTGAAATACTAGATAGTACACCGATTGTGCCTGACGGTATTTCCACAGCAGCACTTGAGATCGATATTTCGGCCAAATACATGATTTTTTAATATTTAATTAAAATTATCTGGATGACTCACAAATCTTTTTAATGATACTTCATACTCTTCATACAAAATACAAACGATACCATACCGAACCTTTATTTAATTTACCTCCGATCATTATTTCCGGTTAAATACATGGTCCAAAAAAGAACAATTAATTACAAGTAATAGAATAACTCACAAATCTTTTTAATGATACTTCATACTCTTCATACAAAATACAAACGATACCATACCGAACCTTTATTTAATTTACCTCCGATCATTATTTCCGGTTAAATACATGGTCCAAAAAAGAACAATTAATTACAAGTAATAGAATAACTCACAAATCTTTTCAATTGCACTTCAAAACTCTTCATACGAAATACAAACGATTTAAAAGAATAGTTTTCTAACCGGAGTTTTTTTCCGGTCAAGTACATACGAATGTCAGTCGGCGCCTCACTATAATTGGTCCATTGAGAGTCTGCAGTCGTAGTCGACAGTCGGGTCGGCCTGTGCAGTCGGTAGTCTGATACGGGCTTAGGGATCCTGGTGAATAAACTCTTAAGTCAAATTCATATCACGCGATTCTGCGCTTATAACTCGAATACTTTTACTTCATGAGCACTGGATATTCTCGCTCGGTTATGTAGTTCGAGACCGATTCAAGGAGCCACTATCCTTTTCTAGATCATGATCATACCTATGATATAGAGAAAGAGAGAGATGTTGATTGAGCAAAGTTCGACGATCATATCGCGATAGTGTCGTGCGATCGTGGCAACGTTTGGAAAAAGATTGCAGCCGTGGGGTATATCGCGCGCGCTTATGTGTGAGTACGACTTGAAGCTGCTCTGCAGTCGACCGATAGTGGAATGCTCGCTGCGGGGGAGGGGGGCGACACACTCGTCGCGAGATCCAGCGAGAGAGCGAGATGCATTGCGCGCTATATATGTATGTCACACCGAGCTGGTGTGCTCGCGGATCATCCGTATATGCGGTGAGCTCTTAAATATTAATAACGTCGCGAACGCGATCGCCGAAATGACGCGCGAGTGACGGGCCGGGCAGCGGGCTGATCAACGATCGCCGTTCACCAATGCGTCGTGCATGCTCAGGCGCGGCTAGAATGTGCGCCCGTGCTCGCTGCGGATTGTACGAATTGCAAATAGGCAGCGCGGATGGACGCGGCCATGTTTCCTGCTAGCAGAAATCCTATCCATTAATAATTTGCTGAACGTGCGGGCCACGAAGTGGAGCGCGGTGCAGAATGCCGAAATGCGATGTGAAGACAAGATATCTGCCAGCTACGTTCGCGTGGACGGTCCTACTCGGCACCACGACACTCTTCTTCTCCTTCCCGTAAGTTGTCGTCGCGCGCGAGCACGTTCGTCGTGTTATCTCTCTCACTACGTGCGCTACCTGACACGATTTCCGCGACGTTCTCCGTCACCGCCGTCGTGTCTCGCACGTCGGTTCACACGTCTGTCGTTCGTTCATGCAGGTGCCAATACTACGTTTCTCGATGGGGCCCCTGGGTACCGGTTTTGCAAGGAGTCATCACTTTCTTCGTGCTGGCAAATTTTACACTAGCCACGTTTATGGACCCTGGTGTTATACCAAGAGGTATGCTAACAGAAAACGAGAATTGAAAGTCTTGAGTTTGTACTAATACTTGTTACTTGAAACTTGCCTCATGTAGAATAAATATTCAGAGAAGGTTGCACTCCTCCTTACTGAATCTTTTCAAAATCATAGAGAGGATAGTTGAAAGTGATTTTTAGGAAAAATGAAGTAAGAGATAACATTGGTTGCCAAGATATTATAAAATAAAATTTAAAATTTTAATAACTTCTCTGAAGCATCATAAGTTGCTGTTGTAAATAGTATGTTTCTGTAAATATATTGTAAAATAAACAAGTAAAAGTAAAGAAAAAAGAACCTATTACCAATGTGTGCTAAACTAGTAAGTTCTGAGAAGATTTGCAAAAGCCCTTGTATAAAGTTTGAGTTTAGATGTGTATAGTGAAATGTATAATTATAAAATGTATAATTGTACAAAAATAATTCAAAGTTATATCAAGAAAGATTTTTTCTTAACAGCTCTAAAATCAAATCAAAAATTCAATTATAGCGCACAATAACTGTACCTTTGGCTCTTTAGTCCTTATACAATTTTTTATTTATAAGAAAATATTTTAATAATAAGTTACTTAAATTTATGTTTTGTGTAGAAGCCTTTAATGATCTTTTCAAGATCTCTTTTTTTAATGTATGATAGATTCATCAATCTAGTGAGATAAAAAATGTTAGCAATAACATATTTTTGATATGCAAATATAATATATATGCAATAAAATATTTTGCATAGTTGCATGTTGAAAGCAATTCAGGTATTACAAAAAATAAGTGAGTCAGCAGTCATCATCAGATTGATATCTAAAAATAAACATCAAAATTTTTAATTCTATTTAAATATATCTTAACAACTAATGCACTTCCATTTGGTTTTTGCTGAAAATACCTTTCAATTATCTCTTCCGCAATATATAGGTGTCCTACCTAACTTGATCATCTTAAATATCTCACTTATGTTTTATGATAGGAGGATGCCAAAGGGGGACATTATTCAGATTGAGAAGACAAATATTGTAAAAAACAAGAAATTTTTCTCAAGATCATATTTTTTAGGATTTCAAGGTCATTGTCATTTTTTTAAATGAGACTACATATTTTTATTATCGTGATATGATAGAAGAAAAAGATAGAAGAACAAGAAACATTTCTTGTTTTTTACAGTATTTGTCTGCTCGAACTAAATAATGTCCTCCTTTGGCATCCTCCTATCATAAAACATAAACGAGGTATTTAAAATGGTCAAGTTAGGTGGGACACCCTGTATATTAATATCATTGATGAGATATGACTTTTTCTGAAAATACCTATTAAATTTTGAGTTTTTTTTTTAGTTAAATTACTACATTACAGATATCATGTCATATATATATATATATATATATATATATATATATATATATATATATATATATATATATATATATATATATATA